ACGCTTTGCGAACGCTTTGCGAACGCTTTAACGACGATCCCTGGTCAACGATTGGACCCCTGGACCCCAACCTTTGAAACGAGAACCCTTCTGCTAGGCATTCGGGAAAAACTACACAAACCTATATTAATGTGTCTAGGTATTTGTGTTTGTTCTTTTGTCAGGATTCCAGAAAACCGCTCACCAGGCAGCCGCTGTTCCAGTACCGCTGCCAAGCTCAGCGCTGGGTGGAGGTGACGGGGCTTTGGCTTTAGGACCCTTCAGGTTCTGTGGATTCCGGGTTTTGGGGTTTAGACGTTTAGTAAGACTTTTAAGGGTTTGGGGGGTTAGGGGTTCAGGGTGCACTGTGATCTGGGGTTTAAACTTTGGAGATCCCTCTTCCCTACATCTTCGGCCTCAGGCACGAAATAAAACAAACTATGGATCCTTTTTTTGGGGAGCGGTCTTCCAACATCTGGCCAGGGTTTGCGTGAGACCACTGATGTTTGGTCCTGTATAGCTTGGGGTTGCACTTACGAGTTCGAGGTTTCTTGACTACTTTGGGCGGTTCGGGGTGCCCGTGCTGGGGCGGGGAGTTCAACCCCACACCTCTAAGCCCGATGTTTGCAGTCTGTTCCTGAGTCAACAACCCCAAATCCCATCCAAACGTTTGTTTAGGAGTGGGATGACCCTGATGCATTTGCTTTACCAGAATGTTGTAGGACATCCCGACTTTGTCGCTTTTGTTTACGTGATGTTAGGGCCGGGGAAGAGCCCGTGACATACAGGAGCATCAGTGGCAGTTACGATCGTCTCTACAATAGGATCTGAGATATTCCCATAGGCAGTTGCACAGCGCGGTCAGGATAATTTTGGGCGCTTGGAATATTCATCGGCTATTTTGAAGGACGGTCTGGATCAGTGGGTTTGCTGCGCCACGGATATGGCCTGAGAGCGCATACCCAGCACGGGGATAGCTGGCAAGTTTCCATACAACTGGATTAATAAATTCAATTCCTAAACCTCATTACCTAATTCCCAGCCCCAGCCCTACCTTGACTTAAGGCCGTACCTGAATTTAAAACTACAGCAATAGCCTGCAGGTGCCGTTGTGCATGCCGCCAGAGGCATCGCCCCTTGTGTCGGACACTGTGTGGCTGAGACTGTTTGAGTGATGGTAGAGGTCGTGGCGATGACAACAATGAATAAGTGGTGTCTTACGATGAGAATACTGGTGAACATGACGATGACGAAATGATGCTCATGATGGTGACGATGATGACCATGACATCAGCCTTGCTACGGAGCTAGTTCTCCTTGGTCAAGATGCTGTGCTAGTGGCTCCTGCCAGCTACATCAGCGTCTCGGAGTCTTGTCGTTACTTTGATAACGATGTCTCTTGTGAGTAGTACGTTACATTGCCTAGTCGTGATTACACAAATCCAATATTAGGGTTTATAATAAGAACCTACAAAAAAAGTGGGTTTTAGGTTCTTAAGGTATAGTACTATGGTCTCAGCACCTGCTTGCAAGCGGTCCAGCTTCGCCTGCTCATACTCCTGCAGTTCAAGGCCCGAAGCCCTGAATCCTAACACCGAATAGCGAGAAGTCTAGAGTCTGGAGCCCATTCTTCTCAGCTGCTCTGGCAGATGCTGGGAATCAACGGCACAACGGTGGAAACAGTTCCTGCCGTCTCAGCCCCGGGTGCGTTTGGTAATTTTCTGCTCACCAAACCGACCTGATAACACCCTCAACTCTGAATGCCTTACGGCCGCAGGCCCAACACCTCAGCAAAACCACCCTGCAACTCAAAGCCTCTGAGCACCCAACTTTACATCCTAGGCGCTGACTAAAGCCATCAACGTCATGCCTTTAGGGTGAACACGTTCAGGCTGCTTTTGTTGCTGTATATGTCAGCTTGGGCTTGAGTTGTATAGAGCTGCATCGCGGGCTTAGGGTTGCAAAGTCGCAACAAGCAAACCTCAAGCAAGTTTGCTTGTCATCTAGTTAATCCTGGGAGGAGGACTGACGGCAACTCTCTTTTCCACACACCCAAATTTGGGAGTGTTGCTGCCGATGGACAAGTTCTGGCATTATCCAGAGAGAGGAACGTAGTGAAGCTTTATGTAGCGTGATGTCTCCACTGCCATCAATTCGCTAGATCACTGGGTGCTTCGTTGCCGATCCCCAAAGGCAGTAGCCACGGTCGACGGCCAAATTTGCGAGGAGAGAGACCCTGAACAACAAACCGTAAACCCTCAGGGAGAGAAAGCGAGAGAGAGATGGAGCAAGTTGAATGTGGGTTCTGGGCAAGCCTGCCCTCAAGCCACAAAAGCCCGAAGTCGGTAACCCACACTTCACGCGTCATCTACCCAAACTCACACAACCCCGCACAACCCTCGACTCTATAACCTCAAATCCGAAGCCCTGTGACTCTGGTATCCTGGTTTTGGTAGGCTGGTATAGAGAGGATAGGATGACCACTTACTCGGACCTCTACATTTTTTGCGAGCCTCGGCCCTCATAAACCCTCAAACCCCAAACCCTGAGGCCCTACCCATAGGCCCCATAGTAGTTCCCTTTTTGGGATTACTTTATAGGATTCTGTATATGAAGCCCAAAAGGGAACTACTTTAGGGCCTATGGGTAAAGCCTCAATCCTGAAAAGGTGACTCTGAGCACTTTGTTGGAGCCGAGTGGCGACCTCCGGGTCTTCTATACCCTGGAGGCTTGAATTCGGCGGTTTTGGGGGGGGTTAGGGTTTAGGGTTCAGGGTTTTAGGGTTTAGGGTTTAGGGGCGCTTCTGGGATTTGTTGGAGTTCAGGATTTTTGGCTTAGGCTTAGGTGTTCGGATTTTTTTCCAGTTACAGGGCCTCGGAGCTTGTGTTCGAGGTTCGGGGCTTCCGTGCCTTGGTGCCTTGTTCTTTGGCGTTGGGCGCTGTAGGCCTTTGCATGGGCCTGGCATCCATTCGTGACCCCGCTCAATCGTGTTCGACTTTGTAAACCGCTTCAGGCCGATAAGCGCGTTGACTCCTTAACTGTTCATTCTTCCCAGAGCCTAAGAGGTCGCAGCCTTGCGTGAGGAAACGAAAATGCTCACCACCCAAAGCCTGAAAGCTTTGCACCCTAAACCCTAAACCCNNCCCCCCCCCCCCCCCCCCGCGCAAAGCCCCTGAACTCCATCGCCTCATATCAGGATTGGACCTCCCTCGCCGAGGCTGGGGAGGGGTGCGGAGGTTCAAAGTCTGAATATAGGGGCCTAAATGATGACCTGTACTATTTTTTGGGGGCGGGGTTCCTTGTTGCAATTATAGTATAATTTACCCCAAAACCCTGTTCTAGTTATTAAGGCCCCTATAATTGTCTTAGGTTGTGTTCATGTTTGGGGGCCTTGGCTCTGGATTTTTCAATAGGTTTCGGGTTTGACCGACAGCAGGAGAGGATCCGGAATTGCCAGGGCAGTTCGACACTGGCCCAGGTGGGTTTCGCAAGTTGTGTTTCCCTAACCCCCCCATTTTACCTACTATATAGGGCCTTAGGGGCTCTGGTACCCTATCTAGTAGGTACCTGGGGGGTTAGTGTTTGAGAGCATGGCCGAGAGCATTGTGCTGCCGGTGCTGATGCTGATGCGTATGTCCCGATTATCCAGACCCTGCATCTCTACGGACAAGACACCCCATTCCCTAAACCCAAAAACCCCCAAAGCCAAGCCCGACAACAGGTACCTAATCCCTAAAAACTCTGAGCCTTCAGAGCCTTAGACGCAAAAGCCCAGCCACCCGGAACCCCGAAAATCAGGGGTCTCTTCAGCTCTCCCTGCAGCGGTTACTCACACAAGCGGCCCCGGCAGCCCCGGACACGCTTGAGGGCTTGGGGTTAGTTTGAATAAGGCTTCGAGATGACTCTGTGATGGGGCTTTGGGATTGAGTGTTTGACGTGTACGGCGTGGGATTGATGTTTAGGCTTGCGGGCTTAGCGCGGTTCGGACCCCTGTAAACGTGCAATGCAACTATGGCATGCTGCTTGTATCAACAACTTCTATTGAATAAGCCGAATAAGCTTGACGGTTCAGACGCGCACAACAATATTGTTAATCATGCAGCACTGCAGGGATAGTGTTGCAAGTAGGCTCCCTGATGCACAAGGTGGCCCCAAACCCGAATCACAACTAGTTCCACTAGTTCCAAAGTCTGAAGCCTCAAGTCGAACCTGGCCCTAAATCCTCATCGCCCTGAGCCCGACAGCACAACCCTGCGCATTGCATCCGCGAACCATAGAAGCACTGTTATGTGGCAAAGCCTCGCCCGTCGTTCCCTGATCCCAAAGACTATTTCAGAACTGCATCCCCTTATAGGATCAATGTCATATTCCAAATCCCTATTCTAATCCCCTTGTTGTGCCCCCCTCTCAAACCTTATTCAACCTTCTAGGAACTAGGTTTTAGTGACCCAAAATCCCCAAAGACCTAGTTTGGGCTGGGCCCCAAAGCTCTAAACCAAAAGACCCTGAGCCGTGAAACTACTAAGTGGCAAAAGCCGCCATCCTTTGCCAGGCGACCGCGCCGCTGTCCAGCCCCCAGTAAGGAGTTTTCCGGGCTTCCCTTTGTGCTTTCGTCACTTTAGCTCACTTTAGTCTACGGGCCTTTGCAATTAGAACAGGGTTTTGTGGGGGTCTCCGTGATCAACTGCGATGCGCAAATCCCTAAACCCAAGCCTTATCGTACCGCCTGCGTTGGTTCCCACATCAGTAGACCTGTTTAGGGGTCTAGATTATACATACCGCTTTGGAGGTTCATCCTAATTTTGAACAGGCTCCACAGATTGTGCTGAATTTCAACTCCTGGAAATTTAGCAGTTGACACTTACAGGTAAAACCCCGAGACCTCAAACTTCCTCAACCAAATACCTGAGCCGAGAATTTACACGAACACCAAACCCGAGAACTCCAAAGTCCATAAATGAACTGTTTCGCCCAGGGCCGTTCACATCCTCGGGACACTCGCAGAGCAAGACACCAACACGGGCGGGCGGCGCGTCTATCCCCCGGCGGTTTCGGGTTTAGGGTTCAGGATGCGGCATGCTTTGGTACGGCCTTCTTTCGTCCCCAGACCCCATCCACAAGTATCATTCGGAGAGGGCCCGGATTCTCCGGTTGTCACTTGGTGATGCCAGATTTCTGTTTGGGTTTAGGACTGTTTAGGGTGTGGGTTTAGGATTCACGGTTTAGGGGTTGCAACGTCAGGGCGTCCAGTAGTAACCCTTACGTTAGGGGCTAGAACCCTTACGAGGAAGCCCTTTTAGCTGCGAGGTGCAGAGTGTGGCGGAGCTGAAGCCGGCGGCATGGAAGGCCTTGGCACAGGGGACCCGAACAGCTGCCTCCAAAGGTTTAGGGTTTAGGGTTACAGGGCAATTATCTATAATGGGCAACTATCTATAATAACGGTTGCCTTTAGGGGGGGGGTGGTATTTTAAGGGTTGGCTATAATGACGGTTCAAAAAAAACGGCTACTTTAAGGGTTGCTAGAAGGGTTTAATTACAGCTAAGGGTGTATTGGCCTGATCCTGGTCAGAACAATCAGAAGCGGTTTTCAGTTAAGTTGCACAAGAAACACATAGATACAGAGGAGCATGAGACGTTTATTATAGGGTTTGGGGTTTTCGTAGTGCTGACAAAGTGGTCTTGATCCCAAGGGAGTCTCCAGGGCTCTAGTATTGTCAGTCTTCTGGGATCCTAGTATACTTGCCCTAAATCTCGAAACAAAAAACCCCAGAACCCTAAACCCCCTAGTCTCCACTTGATCTGTTTAGAGCGGTGAGTTTCGGGCTGAGTGATGCGACTTGAGCGGTCCAGATATGGACCTCAGTATTATACGGGGTGTGATCACTAGGACTGGGGGCTGATATAACACCGGGCTGAGAATCAGGGCCCCTAGTAAGTCCCCGTTGAGCAGTTCCCGGGTGCCTCCAGCCCGAGCCTTTCTGAGATGATCCAAGTCGGGGTCCCCACCCTCCACAACCGGATTTATGGTTAACGTTTGGGGCTCCTGCAGAGCAGGTCTTCTAGTGCTAGTCTAAGCGGACATGTGGAACAGGTATTTGGGGCAAATCTGAGGTAAGGTAGAAAAAACCCGACACCCTCAACCAATGCTACGCTAGAGAGCGAATTTCAGTCTCCAGGTGCAGCTGCAGCTCGCGATCGTTCCAAATGAGCTGGCAACTGCAGCCGCCTCGCAGGCAGTCTCTTCTTAGGGGTACTTAGAAATATTTTTTAATCTTTGGTTACTATAAACCGAAGAAGCAGCTAAAATTATAATTTTTGCTAGGGGTCTAAGTTCAGTACAGTCTTAGCTCAGGCTGCCATGTTCCTTGGGGCCTCCGCACGATGTAGTCCCATGCCGTATAGTTTCCTTAAAGCCAACGCTGCTGGACCCTTCAAGAGCCTTGTTTCCCAAGCCCCATGCCCGGATCGCCACAAGAAGGCGTTCCAACTTGAAAGTGCTCAAGGCCCTATCGACAACAGCTATCGTAACAACTAGTTGGTTTAGGGTTTAGGGTTTAGGGTTTAGGGTTTAGGGTTGTTGGTGAACACTTGGTGCCGGGCTTGTTCTTAGGGTGCAAGATTTGCGGTTCAGCGATCGGAGGTCTGTATGAAGTCCTGCGCAAGTGCACTACACGTGTCAAAGCTTGTCACTTGCAGCCAACCCGAAACCCCCAAACCGAACACGATAATCCTTACTACAACTACAGACATGTCCCAACCCCAAAGACGAATCCGAATCCAACCCACGAGAAACAGCGACTTTTATATCGGCCGAAGAGGTGCTGGCTGCCCTGGATCAGCTGCCTGCAGGCCCAGCCCCGGACCGAGCAGACAGGATGACAACACAAGCTATGATCCGCCAGCGCGCTGAACCCTAACCTGCAGAAGGTTTAGGGTTTAGGGGCAGATGATGCACTTGTGCGCTGAGTCTTTCTTGTCCGCCCTGAACTTCCCTTAACCCTAAACCCTAAACCCTAAACCCTAAACCCTCTAAGCTTCCGTGGCTTTACCCAAAGCTCCACCCTCCGATGAGCCCCGAAACCCACAATCCCAACCCGGAGGGCAGCTTGGCGACTCCGTGGTGCAGGCGCTGCCTGCTGTGGCCACCGGCTTAGGCCTAGGGTCTGGTTTAGGGTTTGGGGTTTAGGGGTTTAGGGGTTTAGGGTTTAGGGTAGTTTAGGGTTTAGGTCTGGTTTCGGTTATGGGATGTAAGGAGAATGTAGGGCAGGGTCAGGGTGTATGCTCAAAGGATCTTTGCCCTAAACCCTAAACCCCTAAACCCGTGGTGCTACGCATAGTACACTATCATTGTACTTCGACACCTGGAACTCAAGCCCGACAAGCCTAAACGCCATCACCCTCAGGCCTAAACCCGAATGAGATCACATAAGCACCGAGGACCCTCAAGCCCTTGACCCTGAGATCCTGCGACCCCTTGCCCTCGCCTAAATCCCCAGAGCTCACAAACTATCCCTGACGCCTCAACCCCAAACGCCTAAACCCCAA